TGAAGAAGGATTGATCTTAACTCAATAAAAAATAAAATAGAAGAAATAAAAATAATATTTTATGAATATTTTATAGAATAGTTTAATTATTTTGTGTGAATTTAGAAATCTTTTGAATGGAACTTTTTTCAGTACTTTTATATGCTTGTGCAGATGCTTTTTATCATATGAAAGTATACTAGAGTTAGCATTAATCTTTAATTTATAATTTTTTATGAAGGCTATCAATGATTAGGAACAAAATTTATATTCTCTATTGTATGTTTTAGCATACTTTTAAGCAATTATTTTGTTTTATTGGTTTTAAATATTCACATTCTTTGTATAACACTGTTTTAACATTTGTTATTTTTGCAACACTGTACTTTCTCAAGTAAATATTGGTTTCATGTCAGTCAAAATAATATAAAAATTTAAATTAGCTTCAAATTATATTTGTTTTCTATCAATTTAAATATTAACATGAAAATTTAAATTTGGTGTAGTCCATTTAAACAAACATCAAAGAAAACAACTAATCGCGATATTAAAGTTTAGAAACAAAAGCGAGCATAAACTATTAAAGTGAAACTGAGGAACAAATTTTAGTTATAAAATAAGCTAAAATACTTAATCATGATATTTAACCACGTGCAATGCATGTGTATAAAACCTAGTAGAAAGGAAAAAAACAGACACAAAGGGTTGGTTGTGGGGCATGGGGGGAACCTTAACCAATTGCAGGTGGATATGATTAAAATAGAAATTAAAATAATATATATAATAAATGAACAAAATGCAGTCATTATTTTTTTAGTTGGTTCTTTACTATGTGGATTGGTGCCCTATAAGATACAATTTTCTCCCGCATATCACATCATTTTTACCTTTGTCTAAATTGTTTCATCGTCTGAGGAATTTCAGAGGGATGCTCCTTTTATGAGCTGAGAGCTTAAAAAGACAATATCGGCGAGTCCTTGCATTCACTACCAGTCTTTAGGCTTCTTTTTGTTGTTGTTGTTGTTGAAAGCTCTTTCGACGGGTGCTATCAGGAACCTCTATTTCAGTTTTTTTACGTTAAATAACACTAAGACACTATAGGCACTCCGAGAGCACGACAACAAATTATCAAATCAATGCATCAAGTCACAAATATGTCAAGTTCCATTCCAAATCAACATTCTCAAACAATCGAATTACATGATCATGTTATTTTGTAAAATATGAACAAATTTTAACTATACATACATATTTACGTATATAACCATGTACTTGCATTGCTGACCAGACATACATCAAGATGCCCATGTCGCATGTCCACGTTCATGCTACACTGCTTTCCATAGTTTCCTAGTACAAGGAATTGATTTGAAGGGCTAACACAGGAACAAATGGAAATTCATTTGACCAAATGTACTTATTTTTCTTCATTGTTTAATTTCAGTTGAATATCAGCTAGTTATCATTTTCATGTTTTCCCTTATAATTTTCTTTATTACTTTCCTTTACTAGTTCTCACTTCCTGTCCTTTTTCTCATTCAGTGTCTACTAGGCGATCAAACCGCAAGACAAAGAAATATCAATTATGAATGCCCATTATTTGGAATATCAATAATTTTACACGAAATGATCATGATTAATAGTTCTCTGAGTTAGTAATTTTAAAGCTGTGATTAATTTACAATCCTTGTTCACTCGGTCCTCATTCAATTTGGGATAACCAGAAGAAAAATATGGGTAGATATCATTTTAAAAGGCGAATCTAACGCTTATTCTAGAGAGACAACATTTGCCCATTGGTAGGATTGCGGTTTAATTTAGCTGCTTCATACTCAATTTTCTTGCACAAAGATTAGTCACCTGCTAGGTTATAAAATGTGCAACGCATAAGATGGCCAAAATTGTCACAATTATTGCCTTACACCTACATGAGCATCTCTACTATTGTTATGCAAACCCCTAATGGGTATGCACTTAGACTTCAATTTAATGTTACACATTCACCTCACTCATGTCACTCTTTTTTCTATGAAGCCTTTCATTTCCAGCTTGCATATCTAGATTCTGGATATCCATTTATAAAGACAAAAGGAGCAATAAATATGCATCTTTCTTAAATTCTCTGAAGCTCAGCTTACATATATCATTCTCGTTAATGGCTACACCTTCAAAGTTGGATGTCATTAATTAGAAAGTATCACTTAATCATAAACTTTTCTTTACTTGCAATAACAACTTTTCATTCACATGCATATCACATGCAAAAAGACTTTATCGAAAGTACCACTAATCATAAACTTCTCTTTACATGCAACAACAAATTTTCATTCACGTGCATATAACATGCAAAAAAAATCTGTTAGCACTAAACTAAGCTGGCCACTTATATTGATATAATATTTTACCATTAGTCGCATGTCACAACAAGAAGTCATCTGTCTATGGGCTGGTAAAGAAGTCCATGATTAATTTCAACCTCAAGTAAAAAAGATATATTTAGCAATACAACTTCATAGCAGCAACATTGACCGGATAAGATATACATACATTTGTGAAGATCTTGAGGCACATACCCGCTCCCTGTCCTTAAGAAAATAAATGAGTACCGCAATAACTCTCCTTTCACATGTATGTCCCAAATGTTTCACATTTGAATTAAATATACATAATTAGTGGGCTGCACCTTGAAAAACAAATTAAATAAACCATCTGGCTCTTTGACTCTAAACAGAAGTACCTACATGTGCCTGACATTAGCATGTCGATCTAACTCATAATAGCATACATTGTTCCTTTGTTGGTGCATGAAACAAGTTATGCACAAACAATGACACCTCAATTACGTATAGAAGTCTGCTGTACCTTTGGGCTCCAAGTTCACATTGGAGCTCAGCACTCAGGTATATCGATGTCGATCCTGTTTTCATCTTTACATGGGTAACATAATAATCAATAATATGATAATAAAACATGTTGATTATCTTCCCTTCTTCCAAATCAATCTCCCTTTATCTTCCTTCAGTCAGCCACTTGTATTCTCATAAAAATCCTAAAATATATGGGCTGGGCATTGAGGTATATAATCCTTCACGTATCACAGGTCCTATACTACAGCAATCTCAATTACTTTTATTTATAATACCTTAACTTGGGAGGAACATTTGCTACCTCATATCAATTTCAATATGTAAAGTTGTAAACTTTAATAATATATGGAAGATAGGGTATTATAGAAAGTAAAATTGCATAAATGATTTCAACAGAGGTCATCACAAAAGTTATCATGTTTCTCTTGCCATATGTTCAATAGTAGTTTGGTATATTTCAAAGTCTGGATTACTAAAACAAAACGTGTAAGGTTGGCACATGATTACAAGCTAATAATGAAAAAAAGGACTACCCAAATTTTGTTTTATGCACAGTAGATGTAAGGTATTCAAACTGATTATCCTTGTTATAGAACCTCAAGATGTGAGGTGTGTCATGGAATTGATAGAGAAGCTGGGAGCCGGACCAGGCGCCCAGAAGCTTTTTTTAATAAAGAATTTGTGGTTATATTTAAATGATAACAAATCCATGAAGGTTATAAATTTGCAGCGAATTTGAAAAGAAGTGGAAGTTATTGGGTTTGGGCTTTAAACATTTAGTTGGTTTTTTAAAAATTTGCTAAATCGATCCTCGAGCCTAGGCTGCATTTTAAAACCATTTAGATAACCTGAAACTTTCTCAGTGGAAAATTCCCCAACAATTCAAGCCCCAGGACCAACAGCAACATAAATTGGTGGGGGAACTGTTAGCTTCTACAATGATGAGACTCACAGAATCCTCACCTCATAACTCATCTACATGAGTGACTGCAACTATATCTCAAAAGGAATATATACAGGAGTAACCACATTAGATAGCAACAAATGAGGTACTTGATGTAATATGTTCTAAATGTCAGGAATATGTGAGAATTTAACATGTAAATAATATGATGACGATATATAAAAGTGCATACTTGTAAGTTTAAAAACATGACTGGTAGCAAATAAGTGAAAGAAAAACAAGACAGGGAGAGATTACAGTAACAGCCATATGACTGATAAGGGACCTAATAGAAGACTAGAAAATGAAGATGACAAAAATGTGCTAAAACTACATATAACCAAAAAACTGAATTAGGGGAGCATCTACATCTATATTATTGAACCGTGATATGACATATTTCTGTAAGGCTACATTGCCTCAGAAAAGAATGAGTGCATGCATGTGGAATTAACCATCTTAGATGTTGGTTAATGAAATAGCTCAAAATAGAAAAAGAAAAAAAAGAAATAGATGTAAAAAATTACCTTAATATCAAACAAAGTCTGACTCCCTAGAAATTCCATGAAGAGCACTGCTGCTAGAATGTTTGATCTCCATAAGCCGACTCCCATGACCTTTTAAGCCTATGTTATACTTGTTAGAGGACTTCAATGATGACTATGAAATATGATTCTTTAGCAAACTACTGCTTTCATCATCATACTCCGGTTGTCAGCAAAAAGTCAACAAAACTGTACAAAAGCTTTGAAGATGAACTGTAATTGGGGGCATGTTTGAAATGAACTGATGTAAAAACCTCAAAAGTTGTTAATGCAGATAAGTAAGCTGCAATCAACTAACTGTTTGTTTTTTGTTGTAGTTCAGACACCTGCATCACCTCGTCACCCTTGATTTCCTTTACTACTTGAAGAAGCTCAAGGGGAGTTGCTGCAGGGTCTAGTTCATAGCAACCCCTTGGAGCACCTGGACCTTCGTCACCAGTGAGAACATAGGATGGAACCTGATGTGATAATCTAAATATTTCTTCTCTTGGAATCTTCTTAACTTTCATTGGGTCTGGATGCCGATGGAAAACTGTTTTAAATTCAGCAACCTTCACTAAGGGGGCAACACAAACTCCTTGCTCCTCACTGTAGTCTTCAAGAACTTCCACCATGTCATACTTGTACATTACCTCATCAGGGGTATGCTCATTCCAATCAGGAGACCAATTTCTATAAAGGGCCCAAATTTCGCCTTGCCTAGGAACAATCTTAATTACTCCACGCAAACCTTTCTCCCACTTAACCCTGTGTGAGAAAACATTAAGTGCATCATTGACTTCATATCTACCAACACGGAACTCCCCAGATGTTTTGGCAAAGCCAGAAGCAACCCAGTTTAGTGGACCAAATTCACTGTTGGTCTTTGAATTGAGAAAGCTCATGCGAACTTTAAAAGGCTCATAAGAGATAACCTTTTGAATTAATGCATAGTAACGAGGCATACCATCTTCATTATCATAAGTAGCCCATATATCATCAGCTTTAAATGATTTTTCGGTGCGATCTTTGTCAAAATCATGGAAGTCGGCATCTGGAACGTCAATATTTACAGGTTCTGCCACTTCTTTGTCAGAATTAGCATCCTGAGTCCTGGCTGAGTCACTCATAGGAGGACCAGCAGGTTGCTTACTGTTATTAACGGGCCCATCTACCCTATCTTGACCAGCAGCATTCTCATGATTCACTTCCTTCACTTTTTCATCGACAATCTCCTTCAATTTTTGCTTCTTTTTTGCACTTTCTTTTTCAGCGGCTTTGCATGCTTTTTGTGAAATCCATGTTTCTACTACCTTATGGAGATCATTCTTTGACTTAGTCATCAATTTGGTAAGCACATGAGCCTGGGGAAAGCCCCTTCTCAAATAAAATTCTCTCAATCCAGCGGCGGAAAAGTTTGCATAGTACAAGCCAGTATGTCCTGTCCCTACTCCATAATTCATTATCGGATCATCAAGAATGCTTCTCTTCCTCTTTGCAGGTTTTTCTACCTTACCATTGCCATCAACTCCTGCATTGAGATTTGCAGCACCGGAAGAATTCCTCTTCAATTCACTCCTTATAGCCTCTTCCCTTCTAGCTGCTGCTTGAGCTTGCTCTCGCTCTCTCCTCACCTTCTCATAGGTATGGTGAACAACATTAGCAGCTTGAGCAGCAGCAGTTGTCGAGGCAGAAGCACTCGCTGTCCCTGTTGTTCTTGAAAATGGACCCCATTGGAACTTTGAACTGCTAGTAAAGTCAGGTCGAAATCCTGAGGCACCTTGACAATTTTTCGTTGAGGATTTACCGTCAGAATTCTGCTGTGGCAGCTGTGAAGAAGGTTGAGAAGAGTCATCAGGCCCCTTAGCTGGAACGACGTTCTCAGAAGCTACAAATGGTTTTTGGCAGCTAGGACACTGGAGATTGAGATTAAGGTATACTCTGAGGTACTCATACTGCATCTTGCAGTGAAGACATGAAGTCCAAAATGTTCCAGGTTTTGATGGCCGGGATGGAGGAGATTTTGAGATAATAGGTGTTGGAGCTGTCCTCGCATAGGTTTTTTGAACTCGAACTTTAGATGGAGCATTATTGGCAGGAGTGTGGACGCCATTGGAACTATTAGGGACAGAATTATCTTTTTTCACTGTACTATTAGTTTTACGTTGGAAAGTTCTTCCAAATCTCTTATGATCATATAAAGTTCTCTTACTCTTATCTGATAACACACTCCAAGCCTCAGAAATAAGTTTGAAAGCACCTTCAGCACCAATGGATTTGTTCTTGTCTGGATGGAACAGAAGGGCTAACTTCCTGTACTGTTTCCTCACAGTTTCCTCATCAGCTGAAGGATCACTAGAGAGAATGGCGTACCAATCTTTTTCTCCATCAAATCTCGCAATTGAAGAGAGATGAACGTTTAGAGTAGATATCATCTGGTCAATACCATCAAGAGGTGGATATAGGTTCTGGGCCTTCAACGCAAACTTTTTGGCGCCCCCGAGATCATTTGCTTGGAACTTCCTTTCAGCAATTTCTTTTGCCCTGAGAGCCTCATCTCTGTTGCACTCCATTCTTTAACCTAATGTTTATAGAGGCCTGATTTTTTCTCAATTATTTACTACCTTGAAACAGAAAAAAAAACACTTTAATGCCTGAAACATTCTTCAAACTTTGTGAACCGGTCATTCCTTCCAAATTCATCCAAACCCTGTGTCCAATGGAGAAGACATCTAAGTGTACTGTGGTTATTATGTAAAAAACAACACAAAACCAAAACACAACTTCAAAAGAATGACCCCAAACAATAGAAGGATAAATTACAAGAAATCCCCTTCATCTGTACCATGTTTTCAAGAAACTCCCTGATCTAAACATTCATAAAGTAAACCCCTCTAGAACTGTTAACAGAATTAGGCAGGCTTCTCATAGCTCCTACAAGTAAACTACATCCAGAATGTTCTAGGATATAAAAAGTAATACAGAGCCCCTTAACACGCTTTTGCAGTCCCAAACTTCGACATGGGATCAAACCATAATCGTCTATCCTTTCTCTCATTGACAACAACTATATAAGAAATCTACTCAAGTTAGAAAACCTCGAAAGTAGAAGAAGGAAAAGTAAAAGTTCCAATTCCAGGTACTGAACATCAGGAACAATCCTGTATAGTTTGCTGGTCTACTAGATGATTCTTCAACAAAGCAGCCCAGAGTTTAGAAAACTGAAGTTAGAAGTTAGGACCCTTATCAAAGTAAAAGTTAAAAGTAAAGACTATACAACAGGAAGTAGATGCAGTAACTAAATAAGTTCAGTAACTGAATAGTTCCATAATTACAAAAATGTCAAATGATTCCTTGTAAACTGAAGTAAAGAGATGTTTCTGAAACCCATTTAACCTTGAAGAATACACTGCAGAAAAGTAAGTTATTCATTTATTTATTGCATCATTCTAAGCCTCCAAACAAGGAACAAAATAGAACTCTTTAAATAGAAAGAGTAATCTAAAATTGCCGGCTTCTATCCGTCAGTAATGACTTAACTCAGAACTCAATCCAGAATGATAAACAAAGGAGAACAATTTGAAAGCAGTTTTCTGTCAACCATAAATCAAAATCATTATAATTCTCACTAATCAACTAATAAATCATGCATGAACAAAGAAAGGAAATAGAAAAGAACAAAACTTCACCCATCAATCCTAACTAAAGCAAATGCCTGAACTCCAACACTAATGATTAAGCTAATGACTAAATCATAACAAGCAGAAAACACAAGTTATCATCAGATCGATGATAATCCCAAAAATGTTAACTTTTTCCAAAAGGAAACGCCATTGATTTCAACATTGCAAGCAAACGAAGGTAACGGACTCAACACTCAAAACCCATACAAAGCTAACACAACAGCGTGCAGAAGAATTTGAATAATGGAATTGGAGATTAACAATAGGAATCAAACTGTAATAACTTCGAAATTTTCGAAGTAGGGGAAAAACCCTAGAAACCCTTGATTCTTGAAACTCGAGATTTAATCAGCGGCCCGTTACAAAATTAGACTCAAAAGAAAGGGCAACTGAAGTTAAAGACAATGAGAGATTACCCATTTGGAGAAACTCCAAGACGCCGGAGGAATTTGGATCGGAATGCTGCCGTTAGACAACCCTCGCTCTTAATTTTTCCCCCCTCAAAGAATTGGGAAATTTTTCACAAAACCCCCAAATTTTCCAAATACCCAATTACACCTTGTGAGGAAAGAAGAGAAAGGATTCTAGTGGGGTCTCCAACATGCCCTTTTAAAGTATTTTTTAACCCTACATTAACCAGAGTTAGAAGTTAACTCTAGGTGTAGGTTACTTTTGTTCAGTTAATTGTATTTTTGTATTTTTGTATTTTTTATAGTATTAGACCTCCATATTTTCGTTAATTCTACATTAGTCCCTAAGTTGTTCATATTTCTAAATTAGATCCCAAATCTTCATAGTTGTCCGGAAAGATGGGTTTGTTTAAAACAACTTAATATATGCATCTATCTTAATTAAAACAACTTACGATGTCTTATTTAAGTATCTAATTCAGAAATATAAACATTTGGGGATTTAATATAGAATTAATAAAGATTTGGTGGTCTAATATGATAAAACCATAAAATAAAGTTTCAAAAAGAAAAAAGATAGTATTAATAGACAATTGAAATCCCATGGTGGTCATTATGAATTTTTTAACCTTATTGTAAATAAATAAGATTACATGTTCTTCAGGTAGTTTACCAAAATAATACTTTTATTGTATAATGATAATATAATATATTAGGTACATTGAGATATTTCTTCAAGTAATATAATAATGTATATATGAAATATTAGATACATTGAATTTTTTTCAAGTAATATAAAGTCATATATTAGGTATATATTGAGATTTTTCTTCAATTAGTATAATAATGTATATATGAAATATTAGATACATTGAATTTTTTCAACTTATATATAATAATGAGTACGAGTATACTTCATGTGCGTCCCATAATGAGAAGCTTGTAGAGCGAAGAGGTATTTTAGGTTTGGCATGTAGACTTAACTGTGGTTAGATGGTGGATGTATACTCCCTAGACTCATCCCTTGTTAAACCGAATGGTTAAGTGGGACCCCACATTTTATCATATTTGCATAGATGTTTATTTGCAGAACTTTTCATTTGTTAAGAGTAGGGTATTATTTTACTCATAACCTTTTATTATTTTAGTAATCCAGTGTTTTTCTTTTGAAAATCCTTAATTCTATCATTGTACCAGGTTTATTGATAGAAAATTTATATGATATTATGACATTTATTCAAACAAATAGGTTTATATAACAGTATAGTACACAACTAGACATCACTTATAATGATAGGTTCATATTGAAGTTGAGATATAGATTTTTACATTAATCATCATACATCTAATACGGAAAGAAGTATTGCCATGAAAAAAAAAAACTATATTTGAAAAGAAACTGTTTTTTCACTCTCTAATCTTATGCATTGCAATTTGCAACAGAATGAAATGCCAATGGCAGATCTCAAAACTTTCAAAATCATATCATCTCAGCATGAAATTTTCTGAAGTCAAATTCAGATATATATCTTTATCTCAAAATTGAGCTCCTTACAATGACCAAAGTTGCTCGTAAAAGAGTAAAAGACAAAGCCAAATGTTAACAACCTTTAGAGAGTAGCTATCCCCACCCCTCGCTAGCTCGGGACAAAAGAAACCTGACATTTGACTTTGGCATTCTGTTGAGAGTTGACATTGTAAGGAAACAAACAATAAAAATAGAAAATAATAAATATTCGATTCATTGTACAAGTTTCATGCACCTAAATTGGTGCTTGGTGCACACTTGGATATTACCATTTGTTCATAATAGAACGTGTCAGCTTCCATTCAGTGCATTTAGACCGTCATTATATTCCACATATTAGTTTCCTTTTTTCCAAATTGATAGCACATTTTCACTATACTCCAAAAAGCCCGCTGGCCCGGGACCAGGCCCGGTCGTCCGCGCCCTCATAATAGAACGTGTCAGCTTCCATTCAGTGCATTTAGACCGTCATTATATTCCACATATTAGTTTCCTTTTTTCCAAATTGATAGCACATTTTCACTATACTCCAAAAAGCCCGCTGGCCCGGGACCAGGCCCGGTCGTCCGCGCCC